TTGAAGTTTGATGATCCGGAGTAAACTCATCGAACGAAGAGCGTATCTGATGGGGACTTTTCGCGTAGGAAGAGGCGTTCCCCGGGGTTTAAGCGTTTGGTGATTGACGTAACGTTCGTAGAAAATAGTGAGGGTGAAGGTTTAGAGGAAGAAATAGCTGAGAAGAATCGAATAGTTGAGGGGGAGAAGGTGAACGGGTGTTGGCGGATGTAATTTACGGTAGGCAGCGCTGCGGTGGCGCGGCGGTTTCTAGAACTAGTGTAGCGGTGCCCTCTTGTTACGCGGAAGGCGGGAGGCCCGTGTGTATTGTTCTATGCGCAATCGGATACGAGTCGGATAGATTCAGCCCGGTGCCAATTCTATTTATTTAGATTCCTTTGTTATGATGGGGATGTAATGGCGCGAAAGTTGAATATTATCTACGTCTGACGTCATCATCAAGCAATCAGTTTTAGTAATCAGCTGGTAACTGGTAATCAGTCAGTGACAGTGATGTGTTATGTTTGGGGGTGAGATAGGTTATATGGCTATCTTTCTATAATTGTTGAAAACTCCTAAACTAAACTTGCCGTTCGTTTGCTGTACGACCGTTCCACTTGTGTTATGCCAAACTTTTCTTTCAGCTAACTAATCAGTGAAACCACGTGCGGATGCGGCTGCGACTGATCAGATGTCTTCAGTTCTTCCTTTTATTTCTCAAATGAAAATGTAGGTAAGCGGTTTCTGAATGTTTTTCATGTTTTCTAATGTCGTGACAAGCCCTCCAGCTGCTTGATTGTTGAATCCCTATCGAATGACTTTGATCGATATAAAGCGTTGTTAAGATAGGGATTTATCGATTACGATCATTCGATAACGATTCAACAATCGATCCGCAGTTCTTATCAGATATTCAGTTATTTCTCCGGTGTGTATGATTTACCACGTATTTCACAGCAAGTACAGGAACGTTGGATTGTTCTTGAGATGAACAATAGCTACGTTTTGTACACGATAGCCCTTTCAGTGCATATCTCTTGATGGGTGTCACAGATTATAGATGGATACAACATGCATAGAAAAAAGACAGTTCCTAGGAACGTTTGAATGTCTTCACAATACCTTAATGCATGTTGAAGTTGGAACCATGGGGTTTCCCCTTATATAAACTCCGCTCAGGAGAGTCTTACGGTCTTTGACAAGGGTAAGCAAATTCACCTAAATTCAGCCAATAGCGTTTACAGGTCATTCACAGTCCTGCATCAAAAACTGACGTTGTGATGAGGCTCCAAGAGTTCATATGCCAATTAAGTTTAGGTACGCACTTTTAGACTGTGACAGGACAGAAGAACTGCCTTTTTGATTCTTGCATTTACTTTCCATGCTAAAACAACATCACACTCTGTCACAGTCGAAGAGTGCATAAACTCATTTTGCATGGAGCTTCAGAGAGATTTGAAAGGCGTTTCTCAATTTTGATCACAGAATACAATTGCTATCTGCATTGAAGCGCTCGAATAAAAGTAGCTGTCAAATGTTCTCTGATTATTACACCCTTACACACATTCTGGATCCTGTAAGCGCTCCTATGGACTTTTCTAAGTCAACTACCCTACAATAATTTTCTGGGCGAATCTTAGAGTACGTTCTCCATGTTGTAGTATTGGTGGTTTTTTTTACTGATTTTGAATCTCTTTTACTTAGATACCAGGAGAAAGCTGAAATTCTCTTTCATATTTGGTTCAACTGCAATTTTAAGAAAAATAAGTTTGCTGAGCTTGCAATTAGTTAATTTATAGCGCATTCTGGTATCAAAAGAATTTTAACTGTATCCACCGTGCACCAATTCTAAATGCATTTGTTGGAATTCATTAATGTAATTATTTATAGAAAAGGGTCATGAGCACATGTCTGGGGATGACTCGGGCAAAGGCAGTTTTTGCCTGGTCATCGAAAACAAAGCCAGACTCTTTGTTGTCAATGACCAGGCATTGTAGATAATGCCCCAACAAGCAGGTTTTTTTCCCTCCACCTCTCTGCCTCGGATGTTCCTTAAACTTTGTCCATTGATTACTCATACCTATTTAAATGCTTCTTTTCCCAAATTTTCACCTGTTCAACGCAAAATAAGATACGATCAATTAATAATCTGGGTTTTGTCCAGATCAAACTTTGCAATTTTTGTGTTTTCCTTGCTCAAAAAAATTGTGTTTTCAAAAACAAAAATGATGAACTAAACTGCAATTGAAAGTCTTGGGATATTCTTTTCAGTAAGGGAGCGCTCATGAAATACGTAACGCTCGCAGGCA